AATGTGGAATCGTGATGCTCTCCCGGACGTTATGGTGGCCATCTGGAGCTACAGTCCAATAACCACCTCGAAGAAGGACACATGGACTCAAAATGGTCAGCTGATCTCTAGACTAACAGCCGTAATTCATGGATTTTATCCGTTTTGCTACCGTCCTTGAACCTAATTGTTTGAATTTACGTCGGTGGAAGGACAGTGTTCCATTGGCCTTTAAGTGGTTGGTGATTGAACTTTGGAAACCACTGTCGCAGTAAAGTCTTGAGTTATATCAATAAAAATCAGTGTTATTGAACTTTGTGCTAAGTATGTATTACTTGTTAGTTGTACTATTGGGATGGATCCGAATAAAAAAAAAAATAATAATAAAAATATATCTTTTTATTTAAAATAAGTTTCATAACAGATAAAAACAAGATTATTATAACTAAAATAAAACTATAGGGAATGTATATTTACTTTCCTTCATTGAAAAATGTTCCTCGTGACAGCGATTCAGAAACCTTCCTGAAGTAAGACAGTCCGAATTTGGGACTTCGCTGGGGGTCATCCAATCCCTTGTCTGTTGACGTCATCATGCTCCCCTGCCATATTCTACTTTACCAACATTTTACATAGTTTTAACTTTTTAAGACCGACCATGACCTGAAAAATATTTTTTTTATTGCAAGGAATTGGAGTCACTAGCGGATCCAGGATTTAATTTTGGGGGGAGGGGGCTTCAGCCTGAAAACATTTTTTTTTCATAAAAATGATGATCATTACTTTGGAAAAAAAAAGGAAACTATCTATATGAAACGGTGTTTAAGTAATTCCTTAAGTCCTTTTAAATGTAATTATATGAACAATAATACTTTAGGAGATAATTTTTTAATATATTTTTCAATAAAACATCGTTATATTTCACCATTTTGGGGGAGGGGGAGCTTCAGGCTGAAAGCTTCCCTCCCCCCCGTAGATCCGCCCGTGATTGGAGTGTTGAATGGGAGCAGTTACAGGTTGCATTACTATTTGATCTTTGCGTGGTAATATTATTACTTGAATCTTGTTTGAATTATTAAAAAGATCAGGATTGCCACTGAAAAACTAATACTAAACCGACATACCCTCAATTCATCAAAACGTGTATGAGAAGATAACTATAAATCTAGTTTTCTCAGTTGATATTTCGATAGAGAAATCGAAGTAAAAGTTAACCAAGTTTATTTTCATTGTGCATAAAGTATTCATCAATATACAGACTAAATACATTATCTAGTAATTACGACTATGTATGGTTAAGGTCACATTTGACCATAATCTGATGTTACATGCGTTAAGAAAGATCTATTCTCCTAGATTGTTTCCACAATTCGTTAAATGAATTACTGCCAAGTTTTAACAGGAAAGATAATTAGTTTCGAAAAAAAAATATGGGAATACAACATACTATTTTTCGTTTTCATGACTATTGTTGGAGTTCTAATTCTGCCAGCCTTTGGTCATATTTTTTTATCTCCATCTATTGTTTCTGTTTTCCCATAACAAATGATGAAAATTGACGTCCTGTTCTGTGATTTCCCTGCCCAGGATATAATGAGAGGGACTCGGATGTTGGTTTTTACCATGATTTAAATCATTTTCATACGTCATATCCGCTTGACTTGGTCATAAGGTCATATAAAAAAAAGTATTTATAATGGTCATAAAATATTTGAGGAGAAACAAGGTGTTCTAGAAACAGCTTGTAAACTTTGTCGATTGTAAATCTTAAAAAAGTCTCATTGGATATACCAAAGTACTCAAAAATATTAATTTTTGTCCTTCACGAAATTGAATTGAATGTCTATTGTACTTTGTAACGTAAAAACAAAACTCAGAAATGATCTTACGTTTCATTACTCATTTAAATGATTATTTCTTTTAAAGACTTAGGAATGAGAAACTGCATGAATAAAAAAATTAGATTTCCTTGATGGTGTTCATAATTATAAAGTATTTCGGTATTATATTATTATTAATCGTTTAACTAAAAATCGTATGCATATGATTGCATTAACTTCAAATTTCATTATGCTATTATCAAATTCTATTTACTCTCTAAATACTTTATCACATCATATTGATCTATATATCCCCTCCCATAAAATCACTTTCTTCAGCTGTGCTTTTGTCATTCGTACTAACTCTTTTTGGAACTCTTTTCCTCCTCCAGACGTCACTTCTTGTCCAAAAATTCCATTAAACGTCTCATGTTCTGCCACTTACTTCATATTGAAACTACCACATCTATGTTAGCATTATTTATTTAATTAATTACAATTACTTATTACAATACAAACTATAAAGTCATAACTCTCCAATATACAGTTGACGAATATATTTGGCAAGTTAAGGAATCGCCTGTATATTGGACACTCAAGGCTTTATAGTTTGTATTTTTCCATTTATAATGTCTCTTTTGGAACTTTTAATTTAATTACTTAATTTAATTTAATTAATGACATTCAATTAAAATGTGCCGGTTTTTAGTCATCTTGCCAGATTAATATGAATAAATTCTATATATTGTCATTATTCTTAGGGATAAAAACCAGAGTCATTTGTATTCTAGTGTTGATTGAATTTTCAATATTCGTTGCATGTCTGTGGCACGATAACAATTCCATAACATATTAAATACAAATTTTGTATAATTTTAACTATTTAAATTTAAGAAAAGAAAAATATTTTCAGCATTGATGAAGATATATCAAAATCCTTGAACTGAGCCAATATTTAAGTGACAATTTTTTAAAAAATATTTTATAAATTTTAATTGTTTAATTCATTATTTCCAATTATTATCTCATGAAAGAAACATATTAAATGAATAATTTTACAATAATGGTCCGTTGTTATTGTAATAAATTGTATAATAACTTGACCGCCATCCCGGACCATCTCCATCCTTTATAATGCAACGGTCAACTATTAAATATTCAGTATAATAACTATACCACAATATTCTGCAAACTGTACTGCTTATCTTACTGCATCACTGTAAAAATATACCGGATATGTATAAAATATCTTCCCCCTTACTTTTAATATTTTATATCATATCTTCGTACTATGTGAAATGAGAGTCTAAAACACTGAGAAACCTAATTAAAAACTTTTGTGTACAGTGACCTAGAAAAGTTGAATGGATGGTAAATTTGTATAGGAGTAGACTGAGAAAAAAGAGGCAAGGTCCTTCACGTTATAGTTCATTAATAAATATGAGCGTGTATCAATGGCAACACATTTTTTTAAATAGTTTTATTGTTTACAGTCCTTTTTTGTATACTTAATTTTGATACCAAAACGAACTACAGAACTAGTTTAAATTCGTATTCATCAACAGAAATTTGAATGAATAATGAATTTGAAAAAATATAAATCAAATGGTTGTTCGATTTTAATTAATGTATTCTTACATTTTCAATGACTTTTGTGTGAAATTGAATGAATTATTTTGTAATTTAGTGCGCATTCCTAAAGAATTGAAATTTCCCGAATATTTCTCAGCACTGTTCAGTCTGAGAGTTCACATTTATGAGAGGAGGTTAAGTCGAGTGGCCACCAATTTAAATTTTAACCAAATTGCTATGTATTTTTAATGTATTATCGAATTTACATAGTTATACAGAAACATTTCATTGCTGATTAACCATTAAAACTGCAGAGGAAATAAATCAAACATGAATCTTTCTATACTTTATATCTAAGTTATGTTTTATTCATCTTTGCGTCTGATTCCTTGGAAAGTTTTAAGCTTTTCAGGCAAATGAAAGGCTTGAAACGATTTCTGAAAAAAATGGAGAAGAGAAGCATTTTATTAACAATATAGAATCAGATTGAATGCAATAAATAAATATAATTCGTCATCCAAAGCAAACCAATTGCATTTCACTAGCAATGCAATATAATTGGAGCACTCTTTTATATGAAAATAAAGTATTTCTTTTTCCTAGATAAATCGAATCATTGACAGAAACGAACGTTAAATTTTCTTATCTTATAACATGCAAGAAAAAAAACAAATCATTTTTCATGATATTGATCTAATGGGAAAGTTCTATTTCTTTTTCTAATTATAATTCCAATCTTCACATATTTGTGGTTAACCGTTATATTGCCTAAATATCCCGATTGAACGGTGCTCGCTAGAACTGGATTATAAACCGATCGATAATTTGTTTTAATTTTTTCGTAGTAATTAAATGAAAATCTGGCCTTTAACAACAGTCACCATTAGAACTAATTGGAACAAATGTTACAATTTACTTCAAATGTAGTCTGTCTTCCTCTTTTGAGTACTTAAAATTTTCATTTTTATTATCTTAAAACTTGTATTCACTGTTTCTAGTTAAATTAACTTGGTCAATCTGTTTTGGACTAATATTTGATAATTTGAAAATATATTTATATATTTTTTAAGTTAATCCATTTTGCTATTATAATTTTAATTACTAGTGAAACCAATTGAATTAAAATATTGGCGACTTGGAGGAATTTAGTTCTCAAAGAACACATTGGATCTTTACGTTCTACAATTAAGTAGTTTTGAACGGCTTTGATTTAATCTAACTTTCAATTTTTTTTTTGTCTCTCTCTTAACTATATTTTCTTCTTTACATTAATTCTTTACTTTAAACCGAGTACTTATTTTCAAAAAGTAACTTTATTAACTAAGTTTATTTATCACTTACAATTAGCACTACATAATTACTTCATAATTGATAATAAAACAGAAATATTACTTCCGTTAGTTCGCAGCCATCTTTGTTAAGCCACATAAAAAATATTTAAACAACCTTATGCATACCAACCATAGCATGGTATCCTGCTGGTTCAAACCTAAACAGTTTGAAAGTCAAGATGTATTCCCTATGTCCGTCATGAAACATTAATAATACATTATTTATAATAAAAATCATCATAATTACCCTTATTATGTTTTAACTGATTTTTTTTTTTTTAGGTACCTGTTATTAACCATGTCCTGTTTCTGGACATTGGTCTTCGTCTTCTCTGGAGCTCTTCTTCGAGGCACAGAAGCTCAGAAAGGGTGAGTTGAACGTTGTTAATAATTCCTTATTGCATTTAATTTGCTTAATGTTTATATAATACATGTATGGTTAGATATTTTTTATAAATATTATGTTATAAATGGAAAAAACTAAACTACAAATCCATGAGTCTCGAACATACATGTGGATAATTAATCTCACGAAGATGTCTACAGTAAATTTTTTTTTATGTTTTTTTCTTTCTGTATAGAAGTGATCTTAGTTTTTCTGCCCTGATGATGCCTGAATTGGCGAAACGTTGGCAATTTAACTATCCACATGTATGTTGGAGACTCATGGCTTTGCAGTTTAGATTTTTCCATTTATAGCATAATTACGTTATGTCTGTTTTCTAGTTTTATGCTTATTTTAGTAATAAATATTATGTTTAATTATTTTTAATTACTATATTGTGCAGCTGATATCTGAATTTTCCTTAAAATCCAATTTAGAAATCACAGTTAGGCCGTATTTTTAATCATAACTATCCTTGATAATCAATGATGAATTCAAAGTGCTGATTTCTGTTTTCTAGGATTCTAAATTTTAATATCCAGTCATTAAATAATGTTTTAGTTTTAATATAAATTTTACCATAGTGGTGGATCCATTTTTTTTTTGGAGGGGGGGGGGGTTCCTCATTCACCACAAGCCCCAATCTAACTGCAGCTCTTTAAAGGGCAAGGAATAACATTGCTTGGATTTTATTGATAACTCTAAGGATTCAAGTTTGCGATCTCAAACAAAATATTAAAAAGATTCAAGAATTAAATCATGGTTGATACCGTACTGATCGTAACTTACATAGGTTGTCCCGTAAGCAGAGGGAGATATTTAAGGTGTGAGAGCAAACCTCAACATTTTAAGTTAATATCAAGTAAATTGTGGGTTTATTACAAAATAGGTTGAAATTCATCTAAAGTTATGTAAGTAAATGATGATTTGATACCCTCACCTACAAGAACTCGTGGGTTCACCAAAAATGACTAGAATAAATCATTACAAGGCTTTAATTTTTTTTTTTCCATGGTCTTTGATGTATAATTATAAACGAAATTGCATAAATTGACTCTTTATTTTATTTTATTTTTTTATTTATTTATTTATATGTTATTTACAACTGTATACAAAAAATACATCTGGTAAATTCGCAGATGGATATAATGACATGAAACACATGTTGAGAAACTACCCATTGGTAGCACTCTAATAATATGTCTATATTAGGAGATCACGTGGCCATCTTCTTTTCAGACGCCTCGGAGGATTATCAGGAATTGAATAGGAAGCAAGGTTAGAAACAAGAGGGTTGGGATGGTTATGAAGTTTATTATGGAAGGAAAGATATCTGGATTGGGCCCAATCTGATACATAAGGAACATTAAGGTCATTATGGATGATTTTATTTGTAACAAAGTAGGGAGCATTGAGGATTTTACGAAGGATTTTAGATTGTAAGGATTGGATGCGAGAGGAATTTGAAGGTTTGGTGGAGCCCCATAGCTCAACTCCGTAAGTCCAAATAGGCCTTATTATAGTCATGTAAATTAGTTTTTTATAGTTAATTGGAAGGTTAGAGCGTTTGTCTAGTAAGTGTTGAAGTAGTCGGAAACGTCGAGCTGTTTCTTGTCGTTTCAGTCTGGTATGAGGATTCCAAGTTAGACGTTTTTATTTATTTATTTATTTATCAACCCTGCCGTGCCTAGTAGGCAATACGGGTGTCTGCAATAGTAAGATGTTAGGCAGGTCAGCTTAACACCTCACTACTGCAAATGAATCTTGTTCTTCTGCTCTTTCTTCATTTTTTTCCCTTTCTTCATTGTTGCTTTTCTCATCCGTTTCCCGCCAATGGTATAGTACCTCTTCCTCCTCTTCTTAAATTAAAATGGGCTGGCCCCACCGCGACTTTCCACCCGTACACAAAATCTTTGTAGTACGGGTAGTTTTCCGCAGTGACTAACTGAGGGAAATCGTTCTCTGTGAGAATGTAGAGACCGGTTTCTCTCAGTAATTTAGCCCTTAGTTCTTCAAAGGCGGTGCAGTCCACTATGATGTGCTCAGCAGTCTCCGGAACACCACAGCTAGGGCATAGGGGGTCGATGTCTATCCCATGGCAATGAAGCTTTGCTCGAAAGCCCCCATGGCCTGTGAGAAATTGCGAGAGCCAATAGTCCGGGACGATCCACCTTGCTTCTAAACGTGACCGGACTGTGGGGAAGTACTTCCTCAAGGTAGATCCTTTGGGGGTTATCATCCACCGCCGGTTCCATTCCTCTAATGTGTCGTCCCGTATAATGTTTTTCCAATTGCAAGTATTCTCGTCAATTCTCACCTTAAGATTTTCCGGTAGACCTGCTGAGCCATTTTTTTTAAACATGTGCTTCATCATGTCTTCTCGCAGGAGAAGGTCGAGAGGTACCCCTCCTGCTAATACCTGCACCGCCTCATGGGATACGCTTCGATACGCCCTGGTGACCCGCAGCAATGCCGTTCGCTGTATTGTCGCCAACTTACTCTTCTGTCGGTGCGAGAGGTTCTGGTTCCAGGCGAGAGACGCATACCTCAGGATACCCAGAATCACTCCCTTATAAATTGTTAAGGTTGCTGGATATCTGAGGCCCCAGAAAGCGCCCCCAACCCGACTGAGACCGTTCAAAGATAGGGCCACCCTGTTTTTAAGATAGTCCAAGTGAGGGGTAACGTTGAATTTTTTCCCAAATTTTACGCCTAGATAAGTGACCTCCTCACTTGGACGTATTCTCGATCCTTGAATCGTTATGATAATAGGGTGTGCCCTATCAGTTTTCCCTTTCATGACAATTGTATGAGTCTTTGAAGCGGCCATTGATAACTTTTTCCTCTCGCACCATTCTCCGACCAAGTTGGCGCATCGTTCCGCTTCTTGTCTAATGCCGGCTATGCTATTGGCGGCCACCACTACTGCCAAATCGTCAACATATCCAGTGGCAGGGAACCGCTGTTCTTCTAACACTCCCAACAACTCATCAAAAACGAGCTTCCATAAAGCTGGACCAAGTACCGATCCTTGAGGACATCCCCTCTCTATGAAAGCTTCAGTCTCATAAGAACTACCACGAACCTTTACACGTCTATTCTGTAAGTAGCTTCTTATGAAGGTATATAAGTTACTGGGAGCATCATATTTCTGCAGCTGCTGGAGCACAAGAGGCCACCAGACGCTGTCGAAGGCGGAGGATATGTCAAATAGCATCAACATGACATACCGCTCCGTCCTCAGTTCAACGTCTTCACGTACTCTCAGCAGGGCATCAGCGGTTCCCTTCCCCTTAGTGGAGCCGTATTGCCGTGGATGACTTGCTCTGGCAAGAACTGGTGCTAGACTGGTCATGATAAGGTTTTCCAGGACCTTGCTCATCACAGGGAGGAGACATATAGGTCTATAGGACTTGGGGAGCTGTTTATCCCTATTCCCTCCCTTGTAGAGGAGTCTCAAATCGGCAATCTTCCAGGTTTTGGGAAAGTATCCCCTCTCCAGACAATCATTATATATTCCCAAAAGTCTCTCATCAATGTAGGGAATACTATTCTTTAGGATCGCCGCATCTATAGCATCGAGTCCTGGAGCACGACCGATTTTCTGCTTATCCACGGCAATACGGAGATCATATATGTCCCATCGTGGGCACAAGTCCGTATCAGGTGGGTATGCCGTGGTGCTTCTCACGAAGTTTTCCTCATCGCTGTCTTGAGACGGATCATCCCTGGGGTACGTCCTCGCAATGAAGATTTCGGCTGCCTCCTCGAAGTTGGTCGCCTGGACGTCTCCGTGCTTGAGGGCTGCCAATGTTTGCTGCGTACTAAACTTCCCCATGGCCACCCTATAAGGAATACCCCAGGGATTCTTCGTGGACTCTTCAACAATGAACTCATCCCAGGACTTTTTCTTCTGTGAACGCACCTCGTTTCGGTATACCCGGGCCTTGGACTTGTACTGATCACGGAGTGTAGAGCGCCTCTCGTCGCAACTACACCTCTGATACAACCGCCGTGCCTTGTAGAGCTCTCTCTTAAGGTTTGTTAAGGCCGGCGTCCACCATGGGACAGGTCGAGCTTTCGCCTTCCGGTGCTGAAGGGATTCCTCAGCGGCATCACAGACAATATTAGTGATCCTAGACACCCTGTAATCCAGGTCATTAGTCTGTTCTATTTCCGCTTCATCCCATTCATCATCTACCAATTTTCCCTCCAGCGTCGACCGGAAGGCATTCCAATCTGCCCTACGGGTTAGATAACCCTTGGCAGTACCGTGGGAACTTTCTGAATTTTCCACCAGCCTGAAGGATATCGCTTGGTGGTCGGAACTCGTCTCAGATCGGAGGGTCCAATCAACGATGCGATTGGCTATTAATGGCGTTGCCAGTGTAACGTCAATCCAACTCTGCCCCCTAGCGCTAGAGAACGTAGGGGTAGCAGAGGGATTGTTTAATACTACTAACTGGTTCCGGGAAATAAATTCGCCTAGCTTTGCGCCTCTTCTATTCGTTTGATTGGATCCCCAGACCGTGTTCCAGGAGTTGGTATCTGAGCATATGATCACATTTCTGGTGGTAGCCGTGATCATCTCCATGGCGGATATGTCTTCGTCAATATCACTGCTATCAGGTAGGTAGGCTGATACTAACGTAAAAGCTACATTACCCCACTTGAAATAGCAAGCGACGGAATCCGCCATAGTATGCTGTCTCAGATCCATCACATCGAGGTTCGGGTTATTAACCACTATAGCAGCCCTGGGCCTCCTCTCTCCACTGCTCAAGGCGATAACCCTCGATGTGAGGCCAAACCCCGTGACTATGTTCCCACGGCAGCTCGGTTCTTGGACCGCCATTATGTCGTATCGTTGGGAGAGAGCACGAAGTTCATCTGCCACAATATGTCGGCGGCATGTTGAGCTGGAGGATGGTAAGCTTACTCATAGAAGGTTCTTTTAGCTACCTCTTTGGCCCACTGTAGATGC